CTGAGGTCTCCCTAGCCATGCTGAACTTTTGAGTCAATTAAACCTCTTTCCTTTATAAATTACCCAGTCTCGAGTATGTCTTCATTAGCATCATGAGAATGAAATAATACAGTTCATTTGCAGTGATCTTGTTTTTCTTGGATTATCTTTATACTTGTAGATATTCAACAGGTCTGGGCATTGAAGAGTATGATATTTACCACAGTCTTCTCAGTCTGGATTTGTTTGTACCAATCCTTTTTGGGAAGGCTTTCTGGATATTTGACAGGACTTGGGTGTTGTGATCTAACCTGTATCTGTTTTAGGGGGCACCTCAACCTCTGTAACACTGTGGTTCTTGCAGTTTTGTAGAGGTTCTGCCTTAATATTCTTAGACAATATCTGGAGGAATTCTCTGCATTACCAGGCAAAGACTTTTGTCCCCTTCTCTTACTAACTTACAAACAAATTAAGTCTCTCCCAATGTTCTAAGCCACCTGAAGCTGACAGTGAAGTGACAAAAGCACCCTTATAGCCACCACCATTGTGACTGTGCTGGGTCAGACCTGGACCCAGCACAGCATTGGGTCTCACCCAAGGCTTCCTGTAACTACTCCCTGGTTACTGCCTATGTTCACTCAAGGCCCTGGGGCTCTACAATCAGCATATGACAAAGCCAGCCAGGCCTGTGTCCTTCCCTTTTGGGTGATGAGTACTTCTAGGTCCTTGGCAGATCTAGACACGCTGTCTGGGAGCCAGAGACTGCAATCATAAATCTTAGAAATCTTCCTGGTTTTTCTTTTGTACTGAAGCTGAACTGGCTCTCAAACCATAACATGCAATCTTTCCTACTCCACCCTCTCTCTTCTATGAGGAGTCTCATCTCATGGCCACCACCACCACAGCCTCACAAGAGTACTGCCTGACACTACTGATCTTCTCTTAAGGCCCAAAATCTCTTCAGTTAGCTTGTACTGAATACTGCCTGGCCTGGGACTCACCTTTCAGGGTAGTCTCCCATCTGGCCCAAGGCAGGTCCAGAAATGGTGTCCAGGAGCCAAGTCCTCAGATCCAGGTCTCCAAGAGCCTGCTTGATGCTCTAACACACTGATGTGAAGCTTGTACCTATCCCATTTACTTTTCCCTCTACTTTTTTCAAGCAGAAAGAATCTAATCCCATAGCCATCATAGCTGAGAATGTACTAAGTCTCACCTGAAGTTAGCAAATCTCAGAGTTGCATCCAAGGCCTACCACATAGTACTTGTGTATCACTGCTGGTTATTTAGGGCCCAAGGGCACTTTCATTGGCAGGTAATCTTGCCAGGGATGGTTCCTTCCCTTCAAGGCGATAGGTTTACTTGTGACCCATTGTGTTTCTAGAAATGTCATCTGGGAGGTAGGGCCTGTAAAAAGGTTGTCACAACTCTGACTGCTGCCCTATCCTTCTGTGGCCAAGCTGGTATCCAAGATGCAAGACAAAGTCTTACCTACTCTTCCCTCTCCTCTACTCAAATGGAGGGAAGGGATCTCTTTTGGAGCAGCAAGCTGTGCAGCTTAGGGTTAGGGGAGGAACAAAGCTGACACTCCCTTAGCTGCCCTGTCTGGTGTCTCCATAGGTCACATGTCTCCCCATAATCAGTCCACTGGTTCCAAGCACAGTTTAGCACTAGGAATCAACTACGAGTTGCTGCCCTTGTGGCCTAGACTGCTGTTCATGATTACTTCAGGCTCCAGAGCACTTTAGCCTGAAGTGGCAAAGCTGTGGAAACTGAGGTTCTGACTGCTGGGATCAGTGATTCCCTTTTGTCTAGGGCTAGGATAAATGCTCCTTCCATGGGCAGGTATCAGCTAAGTTTGATCTGATTTTGCTTTCTGCTTTAACAGGGAAGTACTAGTTTAATGTCTGACAATTGCTGTGCTCTCTCTCTTGTCTGTGTACAGAAAAGTTCTCCATGCCACACCACCACTGCCAGGAGTTGGGGGAGGGGTGGTGTCAGTGATTCGAGACTGTTTTTCCTTCCTCTTCTGTGCCTCTTTCAGTGATATGTAGTTAAAATCAGGTATTGTAAGCACTCTCCTAATTTTAAGTTCCTATGAAGGTGCTTTTTTTATGTGTATAGATAGTTGTTAAATTGGTGTCCTGGCTGTGGGGGGAGGGACAATCAGTGGAGACTTCTATTGTACCATCTTTCTCTGTCCCCAACAACATTTTCAAAATCTATTTTTATTGTTTTTTTTTTGTTTTGTTTTGTTTTTTTTTTGGTTTCTATTGTTGCATTTAAGAAGTCAGCATAAGTGGTGGTTATAAGTCAAGTGGCCATGTCTTTGTAGGTAGTCTGTCTTTTCTGTTTTGCAACTTTTAAAATCTCTTCTTTGGTATTCTTCAAATTCATTATGTACTGGCTGGGATCTATTTTAATTTATTAAGCTTGCAACTCATTATGGTACTTGAAGCTAAGGATGCATATGTTTCAACAATTCTAGAAATTGCAGTCCATTAGTACTTTGACTATTGTTTCTCTCCTATGTTCTCTAATCTCTCACATTTACAATTGTAATACATGTATACTGAAACTTTTACTTTTATCCTTCATAGTACTATACCTCTCATATTTTCTATCAGTGGTATGTTTAAAATGTGAACTGAGTAATTTTTTCTCATATGTATTTTCCATTTCACTAATATCTCTTTAGTAATATCTAATCTGCTCTGTAACACACACATTGAGTTTTAATTTTCAATTGCTATTTTTCCTTTACAGAAAGTAAACTTCAACTAGATAGATCTTTTTCAAATTTACTTTTTCTTTCTTCCTTCCCCTCATAACCTTTATAATTTTAATTATAGTTTTTTTCATAATCACTATTGGATAATTATATGAAGTCCTTGGAGGAGCTCTAATTCAGTTTTATGTTATATCTGTTGATCTTTACTTGTAACCATTTCCTTAGGTGTTTTGTTGTGGAGGACAGTGAGGTAATTTTAAGCAAGTATTAATTTGTGTTTCTGTCCTTCCAATTTTTTTGTGTTTGCTTTGCAAGTCAATCTAGTGGTATACCCAGCTTAAGACCAATTTTTATGTTAAGTTCTCAGCTTATAAATTTCAGATCAGGCAGACAGTATACATTTGGACATCAATCCCACATATGGTTAGAATTGAGTTTGCTACATCTCAGTAGAAACACCTTTTCCTCAACTTCTCCCCCTTCTTTTTTGAACTTTTGTGTTGTGAGCTGATTTTATCTAGTTAATTTAACCTAGGTCACCCTTTTGCTAAACTCTTCAGGATCTTGGCTTTATGTGAAAGTCTAGTTCCAGCTCCTCATCTGCCAGAGTCCCACCTCTTCTTCCTCTTAAAAGTGTTCCAGTTTAGACAACCAATTATATGATCTTTAAACCTGTAGGCAGGAATGTTCTTGATATACTAAAGGAAGAGAAATGCCAAAATGGCTGAACTTTAAAGAAAAAAGTATTTGGAGAATAACTCAGAGAGGAAAGCAAGGACCAGCTTATGGTAGGGAAAAGTTCATTTCACATATGATTGGAAGCCATTAGGGGATTTTAAACAAAAGAATTTTCAGCAAATTCTGGTTTTCATTTTTTTTTTTTTTAAACGTGGCTATCTAGAACTGTCCCCTGTGCCTTGTGTAGTTCAGTGGTCAAAGATTTGGTCAAACTTTGTACTCAGATTTTGAGACTCTGACTCTCAGTGGTTCTCCTGTTCCCAGGACTTCTGCATGAATTTTCATCTCCCAATCCTGAGCTTCTCCTCTGATAAGCTAATACATTTTTCAGATTTCTTCCACTTGAATTGTGATGGATTAAGGAATTCCTTCAGTCTAAATGGCAGCAAATTCACAAACATCACCCAGCTCAGTTCTTTCATTTAGTGGACCACTATCCTATTGTTTCTGCCTTTTTTTTTTTTTTTAAACTGGGCGCCAGGGCCTCTCCCATTTCTGTGTAGTATAGTGATCAGCCAGAACTTTTGGCAGAATATATATTCAGATTTGGAGGTCCATCCCTTCTGGGATTCTCTTGCTTTTGAGTCTTCCACCCCTAATATTCCAAATTCTCTGACACCTTGAGACAGTAAGGTCATATATGTCACACAAATTCTAGGATTGAGAAGTGCCTTCAAGAAAGAAAAATCACAAACTCACAATTCTAATCTATTGCTGCTGCTATCTGTCAAAGGTAAACTCACCTTAGATTTCTGTCTGCTTTCAGTCACGCCCCATTGGTTTCAAGTAATATAGATTACATACAGTTGTTGTTCAGGTTTTATAATTAATAGCTATAAGAAGATATACTCAAACAATTTATTATGCTGTTATCAATACCTGTAACATTTATTGTTAATTTATTTTGTATATAGATAAACAGCAAATTTGAACATTTTCTTCATGTTTATTAGCAATTTTTATCCATTTCATGACGTTGTTGTTCATTTTCTCATTTTTTTCTTATTTATAAATAAGATCTGTTTTTCTTTCTCTTATTTATCTATTATATTTCATTATTTATTGAGGATAATAAACTATTCACTAATAAGACATATTGTTATTTTGAGGCTCAGATGAAATGTCTGATGAAATGTAAGATTTTGGTTTTGTGGTTATTTTTATATTGGCCTTTGATGTTCATATGAGATCATTAAGCAGTAGAGACAAGGTAAGAAACTTGTTTTTATATGTGTGTCACTGCATAGAGAAGGGAGCGCTCGCCTTCTCATAAGGCAAAGTCTTGCAATTAGCTTGTGTGGTGTGTGGGGATGTGTTGGCAGTGATCTTCCTAAAAAAATGCCTTGTCAAATACGTTATCCCCATGTTTATTAATCACCATGGCATTATGTTTCAATCATAATAATTTACCTTAGTCACTAGTAGCTACTGTTAATAGACTGCTGCTTCTCTGCATCAAAGGAAATGCTGCAAGGTAATTAATATTTGCTAAGGGCACTGTGAGCCCTTACCAGAACTCAACTGAAATATTGTTTTTCTCTCTTTTTGTCCCTAGGAGTACACTATTGATGTATTTTTTCGACAGACATGGCATGATGAAAGACTGAAATTTGATGGACCCATGAAAATCCTTCCACTGAACAATCTCCTGGCTAGTAAGATCTGGACACCTGACACCTTCTTCCACAATGGCAAGAAATCGGTGGCTCATAACATGACCACGCCCAACAAGCTGCTCAGATTGGTAGACAACGGAACCCTCCTCTATACAATGAGGTCAGAGAGTGGTGGCTCCCACCCAAAGTATATTAGGAGTAGGACTGGGGTTGAAAGCAAAATGTTTTAGAGTATCCTTTCAAAATTCTCTCAAGTTTATAGATTAGAAATGTGCAGATACATATACACCATGGAATACTATGCAGCCATAAGAAATGATGAGTTTGTGTTCTGTAGGGACATGAATGAATCTGGAAACCATAATTCTCAGCAAACTGACACAAGAACAGAAAATCACACACCGCCTGTTTCCACTCATAGGTGGGTGTTGAATAATGAGACCACATGGACACAGGGAGTGGAGCATCACACACTGGGGTCTGTTGGGGAGGGGGGACAAGGAAGGGACAGCAGCAGGGGGGTGGGGAGGTCGAGGAGGGAGAAATGTCAGATGTAGGTGACAGGGGGATGGAGGCAGCAAACCACATTGCCATGTGTATACTTATGCAACAATCTTGCATGATCTGTGCATGTACCCCAGAACCAATAAAAAAGTAATAAAATTTTAAACTTAGAAATATACAGGTATGTATACACTTCCTAATACATTTGTGTGCATACATATTCACAGACATATATATTCTAATAAACACATAAATAGGGAGATGTACAGATAAACATTTTTAGAAACACAGAGGTGTATGTTTATAATTTATAAATGTATGCCTACTGAAAGACACATGTGGACTAACACAGAAGGACATACATATTCAAGGACACTTAAATACACAGATTCACAAAAACATATACACAGGCATGAACACTGATAATTAGAATTGACTAGGTTTAACTGCAGCAACAAACTATACCTGTGATGCAGAGCTGTCAGAATCAAATGAGATAACTATGGGTATTTTGTGAAACATACAGTGTTTTATAAACATACATTTAAAAATGCAGTAATATTTATTTTATGCCACATTACTTTAGGATGCTGAGGATGATAAGTGAATTTTACAAGCAATTTAAGATTCTATCTATCTATCTATCAGTCTATGGTGTTTATGTGTGTGTGCATATACATAGAGAGAAATCTTCATAAAATATAAAATATTTCATACTTTTCTACCTCCCAATGGATGAAAACATCACAATTTTATGTATTTCATGACTTATTTTTGTCATAGAGTTATTAGGCATTGAATTTTGCTGTTAAAAGGAATAAGTTTGAAAGCATTAAAAAAAAAAAAAAAGGAAAAAGAAAAAGAAAGCATTTTCAGTAAAGATTCTTTCCCCAATACTAAAAAAACTTTCTTGGTTCTTGGGTTTGGCTTTTACTCTTTTGATTGTTCCTCTGCTGTCAGTTATTACTTCCTGAAGCTTCTCCAACATTAATGAGTGTTAATTTTGTATAGTGCAGCTTCTATGGCTATTTGGAATTGATATATTTGCTATTTTGCAGAACAAGCCTCAAATAATGCATGCCTGGTAAATACGTGGTGAATAAATGAAGTGTGTTTGTCTGTATACTAGTCCCTCACTACTTCAAATTTGCAATTTGTTAGTGTTTTCCCTACAAGAATTTGGAAGATGGGAAGATAGTCAAGGAAAATAGAGTAATAATAATTACTTAAGAGAGAAGTTGGATGAGAGAGGAGATGAGAGACAGTGGGGCGAATGAACATAGAGAAGAAATGAGCATAGAGTGGAGGATAAAATAATAAATAAGGAAAGTGGATAGGAGTGGGAAGATAGGATGGAGAGAGGAGAGAAGACTAATTAGAGTACATAGAGGCATATATATTGGGGAAATGAGAATGGTGAAAAGAAAGAGATATGAGAATAGAGGTAAAAAAGAGGAGAAAAGTTGAGAAGACAAAGGATAAGATGGTGTAAAATAAAGAAACTAGATTAGATATTAGGATATTCTAAAGTGATAGGAGAATGTGATAAAGAGGATATAGTAGATAGATAGGAATAAAGAAGAGAAGACATAGAGAAGCAAGGGAAGAGACATGGGAGGAGATGAACAAGAGGGAGGGAAATTGTAGCTGGAAGAAAGAGAAGTTTTCTTTTATTAATTCATTCACCAAAATGTTTTGACTCCCTAATACATACATGGCCCTTAACTAAATTCTGGAAATGCAAACATTAATGTAACATGGTCTCTGACCTTAAGAAAACCACAATATAACAGGGGAGAAAGACTAATAGGATAATAGCAAATAATGTTAACTAAAATGCTAAAGAGGTGGGTAATAGTTGGAAGATAGAGGAGGGTCATCTAACATTCATTTGAGTGGGGCTGAGAGAAGAGTCCCTGAATAAGGCAACACGTAGGCTCCTGATTATTAGCATTATCATTAGTATTTTATATTATCGTGTAAGTAGAATGGAGTCAAGAAACTTGTAGGTAGTGGCAGAAGGAAGAGAAGAAGGACACTCTAGACGGAGAAAACCAAGTGAGCAGTTGCTGGGAATGGAAGGACATTTTAGGCAAGAGAGTGAGGTGGTCAGTTTTCTATTTTATATACGGCTCTGTAGTTACAGTGTAAATAATGCATTTGAAGGTAAAAGACTGGAATTAGAGAAAATGATTAGGAAACAGCTGAAATAGTCTAGATTAGAAGTGGTGTTCCAATTCAGAACAATGGATTAAGATGGAGAAGTGACGATCTGTTGAGGAAATACTCCGTAAATATAGACAAATTCAGAATGACAGAAAGGAAGAGTTGTGAAGGTAGTAGTTATCCAAATAATATGGGTGAAAGATAGTACTATAGGCTGGAGTAGGTGATATGAAAGTTAGGACAAATTTAGATAAGTCTGTAAGGTTAATTTTGGACAAGATAAGCTTAAGATGATTGTGGATTGTAGGGAAAGAAGTCTAATAGCAGTTGGATATTCAAGTCTTAACATCAGGAGAGAGATACAATATAGAGATATAAAGTTTGATATTGTTAGTGTATTGGGACAAATGGAAACAGTGAGAATGGATGTGATCACTTCAGGAAAGAGTATAGAGTAAGAAGAAATTAATGCCAGGTATCTAGTCATCTAGCACTACTATCAGGAAGGCAGTGGAGGGGAAAAAGGAACCTATGAAAGAAACCAGGAAGAAAATGTCATGGAGCTGTTAACAGTGTGCAGTAAGTATCTTGAAAGCTAAGTGTGGTAGTCAATATTGCCAGTTTCCAATATTTTCAGTTCACCTCCATCTGGGTACAAAGTATACTTACCTGAGCCATGAGGTTCAACATGGACAAATGACTTGCTTTGGCTAACCAAATGTGAGTGTAAATAGCATGTGTCAGCTCTGAGGGAGGATGTGAAGCCTTTCGAGATCCAATACATAATTTGCCATGTTGCCTTCCCCTGGCCACAGTAAGTAGTGCTATGCCAGGTAGTCTTGACCCTATCATTCTATGCTCCTTATTGAAGATAACATAAAAATGAGTGGCTCCCCTGCCCCATCCACAGATAGTGTGAGTGAGAAATAAACTTTTGTTGCATTAGGACACTGAAATTTTCAGATTGTTTCCTACTGCATATTAATCTAACCCATCTTGACTGATAAACTGGAGTAAAGTTTCAAAAAAATGAAAGTTATCAATAATAACACCACTGATAGCATAAGTATGTTAATTAACATTAATATAGTACTCACAATATGAAAGGCAATGTTCTAATCATTATGCTTTTATACTCTTCATAACAACTTTAACAACTGTATGAGATAGCTACTATTATCCCAATTTACAGATGAAAAACTGTAAGATAATTTTTCAAGTTCACTTGGGTAGTAGATGGTTGAGCCAGCATTATTAATATGGTAGTGTAGCTGCAAGTTCATGTACTTTACTATTGTTTACACATTTTACAAAGTATATCTTAAGTTGGTACCATGGAGGATATTAGTATTCTTCACAGACACTGTTTCAATAGAGTGGCTAGTACAATGGAGAGTTTTAAGAGTTGGAGTAGAGACAGTTCACATAGAAAATACCTTTGAGAAGCTTGTTTGAAAATGAAAGGGAGGGATGTATCATAGCTACATTCAGGGGTAAAATAAATTGCTTTGTTTTCAAAGGAAAGACTGACACAAATTTGTGACATAGTACAAAAGATCGAGTAGGAAGAAAAAGATTTAAGACACCATAGAAATAACACTTTGCTGACAGCAAGTTCTCATAAGTACCATAAAGGGGATGCTATCAAAACTACAGTTAGTTTCACTTGAAAGGAAGAGAGAGACACCTATTCTCACATTGCATGAAAGGTTATGAGGTTATATATAAAGGTTGAAATGAAGATGGGGAGGATAGGACAGAGAAAAGTTATAAATGAATGCAATATATAAAGGAGAATTTAGATAAACAGAGCATTAGTGAAGAAATAGATGGAAGAGAGGCATGCTTGTAATAAAGTATAGGAAAGAGAAGAGTTTGAAAAAGAGATTAGTTCACACGATTGTAGAAAGAATGGAGTGGAGTAGATGTAAACAGAAGAGAGGCTGTATATGGAATGACGTGGATGGAGGTACAGAATAATGAGGAGGAGATGTGGATGTGTAGAAGACAGTATGCAAATAGAAGAGAAGTGAGAGGAAGGAGAGGGTAATGGGCAGGAAAAGATCTGAACACAGTAGAGATTGCAAATAGTGAGGAGAAATAAAGAATGAATGAAAAGAACAGGATAGAGGAGAAGCAACGATAAAAAGAAAAAAGCATAAAGGATAGGTTTGGGTTTTGGAGGAGAGATAGAGAAGACAGAATAAAGGAGGGGGGATGGGAATATTGAAATATAAAGAATAGAAGATGCAGGTTGAGGAGAGCAGAGGGTGAAGCAAAGCAAGGGATTAGCTGCCTTGAAATCAAGTTGAATGAATGGGAAGATGATGATAATCGGGCCCTTTATTCGAGTCTGAATTTGACAAGAAAGTCAAGTTTGATGAGATTAGAGTCTATGTAGAATGCTCTTGTGCTTATTTTGATTTACAGAATAGAGGAAGTACAGAAGTGCAGAGGGAAGATGAAGCCATTGGTTTCCTACACAGTAGC